TAGATTTTATACTTTTATATAACAAAGAATCAAAATCAACCTAAAGGAGGCACGGTGGAATAATGGGTAGAGGCCCGTTTCAAGGAATCGGAGATTCCAGTCGAATCCATTACATTCACTTACGTGCTAATACCCTTGGGAAAGCTGTGAATCGTCTTCTTCTCCCTCCAGCTATGGGTAAATAGCAGGACAGACCGGGTTCTGTAGTCTTGGATGGCAACTGGTCTAGGAGAAGGACAACTCTGAATTCAAAACCTGCGGAGGGTTGTTTGGGGACCTTGTGGCACGTAGTGCACCAGGTCTCTGTATTCGGCCCTTCAAAAAGTGTGGATGGTCCTGCACGAAACATTCACCACTATAATCAAATCTCATGTGCTGGTGTCTGTCGTTTCCAATAAAATGTGCATGAAGAAGATTGCTGCCTAAATATATATATATATATATATATATATATATATATATATATATATATATATATATATATATATATATATATATATATATATATATATAGCCATATATATATATATTTAGGCAGATATCCTTCTTTCAAAATAAAAAGGATATGAATATATATATATATATATATATATATATATATATATATATATATATATATATATATATATATATATATATATATATATATATATTTAGGCAGCTATCCTTCTTTCATGCACATTCATTGAAAAACGACAGACAGACACACACACACACACACACACATATATATATATATATAAAGAAAAACAGCTCTCCTTTTCTGAGGGACATAATCGAGGCAAATGTAAGAGTTTATTTTGTTGCACGTGTTTATATACAAGAGCAATGAGATCATTGGTTTATCAAAGCTTGTAAATTTAAAAAACGTTTATGAATATTCATTAGGTGGCTGAAAGGTCTGTCAAAGAGGATACAGTGTGCAATTATTGAAAGTCTGTTAAGACAGAGGTAAGCGAGTAAGATTTAAGATTTAAAAGCCATGATAAGCCAATGACATCCTTGGTCTTGTATATAAACACATGCGACAAAATAAATCCTCACTTTAGTTCTGCCATCTTAGGGGATGAAACGCGTTAGCTAAGATTAGTTTTTTTTCTTGTTTTTTATTCATTTTGTCCCTTTACAGATATAGCTTGAAATAATTTACTCTCTCGCTTTCTCTCTTCCCCTCTCTCATTCTCTCTTTCTCTCTCTCACACACACACTCACATACACACACAGATACAGACAGCCGTGTGACCATTAAGATGTAGGTCAGGTTATCGTGTTCCTCTTCTCTCCCCCTGCCCACTCCTAGCTTTATAATATAATACCCCACATTACTTCCAGTAACTATGCCTTCTTCTTTAATCTCCCCAACCCTGACCCCTCTGACGTTCTCTCTATTTTCTTTACCCAACTGACCAATCTCCTTCTACAAGCACCATGAACAGTTTGAAAAATCGAGGCGAATTTTAACTTTAAAATTCGTAGGTGAAAATAGTCATTAACTAATGGTATCTTAATATATATATAATGTAACTGAGACTTTAAACAGCCGTTACCATAGAAATGTTAATTTCAAAAAATTTAATTTACTGCTTATAAAACGCGTAAACCTCTGAAATAAATTATTCCCCAAAAAATTTTGCTTGAAGATGGAACAGAGCTTTAATTCAATTTAATTCAAATAATTATATTGAAGTTTTCGGCTCTTGTTTTGAAACATGAGAACTCTTATGTAGCGTGTTGGAATCATATTTTTAAATAAATAATTATATTTATGCTCTACTTTTGTATCGAGCACTATTTTCTTAAAAAATAAAAACAAAAATAATAGAGAACTTTGGATTATTTACCTAACGAGTTCTTTCCTATTTTCTATATATTTTTCACACACACACACACACACATATATATATATATATGCATATATATATATATATATATATATATATATATATATATATATATATATATATAAAGAAACACAAACAAAAATATTAGCTCTGGATTTACGTTGAGCTCTCAGGATTTTCACCCTCCTTGGGATTACCCATACGGATTATCAAGTTCTTCATAACTTAACTTATATATATATATATATATATATATATATATATATATATATAATGTAGGTGTTTAACATGTCTGGATTTTAGAAATTCACGTCGTTTATTTCATTCATTTTCAGATATATTTTTCTGTTCATTTATGACATCAAATCATTCGCATTTGTTTTTATTTCATTTAAAGACGTTAGCTTATGACGTAAGCGTATTTAAATTTATTCGGATGTAACGAATTAATGCGTTTTTTTTTTATTTGAATTATTTCCGTTTTGGATTGTGATACGAAAAATATTTTCTAAAGAAATTGTTAATCTTTCGAAAACTTTTTTGTCTTACTGTTTATAGCTTATTAGATATTACATATTTCGTGATATATATATTTCGTGATATATATATTTCGTGATATAGATACAAGCAAACATAATGGTAAGTTGCATTGAATATGAAGCTCTGAGTCGTACTTTTGTAAGTTATAGTTCTTCATATATAATTTACAACACGGTATTAACGCACTGAGCACTGTTTTGCTAACAGTAAAAATTAAATAAGATATTTATTTGCAAATATATATATATATATATATATATATATATATATAATGAAATGGCCAAAAGTCCGACAATTTCTTAAACATTTTTTTTATATTTAACGTTCTTTTATAGCTAAAAGAACGTTAAACATAAAATGTCTTTTTAATAAATAAATTGTCGGACTTTGTCCATTTCTTAATATATGACGTCATTTGTTTACAATTGATACGCCATGAGCTGTTATGAATGTACGAGATTCATGGAAGATTGAAGTTTATAAGCAGTAAATTCGACCTTGCCAACCAAACGATCCTTTGTGGCCGCGCCATCAAGGCACGTCAGCGTAAATGACGGTTCCGTATAGGGTGCAGGTTCGATTCCTGTCAAAGGACTAATATTTTCTATGAAAATTTCTCGGACATTCAGGCCGGTAAATGTTATTTAATACTGCTTATTATAAACAGAGCATTTACTTAAATACTTGTATCTATAAAAAGAACGTTAAACATAAAAATGTCTTTAATAAATATATATATATATATATATATATATGCGCGTGATCGCAAGCATATACGGTTGTTTGTATCTATATTTATTTATTTAATTCATATATATATATCTTTATACATATATATGTGTGCGTGTGTGTGTGTGTGTGCGTCTGTGTGTATTTAGGCAGCAAGTTATTTTTTAGGCATGTTTGATTGAATAAATTACAGGCATTATATTTGCTGATTTTTAATAAAATCCGTGCATACTCACGAATAACCTTCCGTATATTGATGTTAAAGGATGAGAGAAATGTGCTATAGCTGTTTAAATTTCTTTTATTTTCATTTCCCTTTCGATCTTCTTCCAAGACCATCTTCAGGGGTGCAAGTAGTACGAAATTATATGTTGTTCAGGAGTATAAGTATTATTATCATATAATAAGTATTATAACATAGAAGAAAAAAATCCATAATGGATAATTTTTTCACTAAAGAACGCTCAACATATTGTCAACCGTTTTGCATTTAAAAGCATAATGAAAAAAAAATAAAGGTAATGGATAAATACTGATATTAATGAACAACATATAGTTTTGTATCACTTGGCCCTCCCTGAAGATGATCTTGGGAAAAGATCGAAAGTACTTGGAAAATAAAAATAAAAGAAATTTAAACAACTATAGCACATTTCTCTTATCTTTTAACATCAATACATGGAAGGTTATTGTTATGGACTGTTTTCACAGTGGAGGCTTGTATTTGTACTAAGTCGGTCCTAAAATAGGTTCGACGTACAAAACGTTAGGAACTTGATATAATAGGTAATGACGCAGAGTAATCTAGTTGTGGTCGCTGATACTTTAGTATCTGACTAACGGTCGTCCGGCATCGACAGACTGACCGAACCACTGAGCGACTCCGCGACCGACTTGTTACTCTTACTACTCCTACTTATTATAGGTGAGAGAGTCTATTAACGATAGAATAGGTGTGTTCCAATATAACAGTTATTCATGAGTATAAACGGATTTTATTAAAAATTAGCATACATAGTGTCTGTAATTTATTCAATCAGATATATATATATATATATATATATATATATATATATATATATATATATAACTAGACTCGTTTCGAAAAACCCTCGAATTTTTGATTTGCTAATCAAATCAATCCCGAGGGAAAAAAAGGTTTTAAAAAAAGAAAGAGCTACAAACATGAACTTCTGCCGACAAAAAAAATCGCACAGATGCAGGTCTGAAGCCCAAAGAAAAAAACCCGATACAGTAACAACTAACTAACAAAAAGAGCTCAATACAACCGTAGAGCAGACCTAGATACACCCTAGTGAGTGAACAAACCTACCTAGGTTTCACCTAAACGGATCGTCAGGAAAGTTTGGCTGACGATCCGTTTTAAAGTGAAACCTAGGTAGGTTTGTCTGGCTCACTAGGGTATCTATCTATCTATCTATCTATATATATATATATATATATATATATATATATATATATATATATCGTTAAATACAGCTGTTTGTTGGTGATTCTTTTCACCATTGAACCATAGGTGTTTCGGGTGTTTCAGTATTCTACCGCCTCTCTTCACGGTGACTCAGACGATACTGATCGGATGTTGACTTGTGTGGCATCCGTTGGTTGCAACTGTTATCATAATACATACAACAAACTTGTCTGGCAATTTTATAGTTCAATCACGAACAACTTCCGCTTCACTAGATTCTGCGCTCTTCAATAAAAAAAAAGGAAGCTAACACATTAATTGAAACTTAAGTAACGGCCTGAACTTTTGAAATAGGACTTTGGGAACCATTTTTGTTCGAACTTATTGAACTCGGCATAGAACAGAGTTGGTTAGGGTTTACGGAGTGCGTAGAACAATGTTAATTACAGTTTATCAAGGCGTCTGTTATCATTATCTATCTATCTATCTATCTATCTATCTATCTATCTATCTATCTATCTCAGTCTGTTCGTATCTATCTATCTATCTATCTATCTATCTATCTATCTATCTATCTATCTGTCTCAGTCTGTTCGTATCTATCTATCTATCTATCTATCTATCTATCTATCTATCTATCTATCTATCTATCTATCCCAGTCCCTTCATGTCAGTTTATGAAAGACTATTCATATTATCTATTTATCTCTGTTCATGCCAAAATTAGTAATATCTATCTATCTATCTATCTATCTATCTATCTATCTATCTATCTATCATAGATAATTCTTCCTAGCTCTCTAATCAGATTCTTGACGTTAAATATCTAGGCGTCTGTTATCGTCCTCCCATATATATTTTCTAAAGTAATTGTGAACATTTTGGGTCATTTATGGATTATGTGATATATTTGGCTTCTTCAGGTAAAGGTTAAAATTATTGTTATATTTTTATTATCATTATATATATTTTAAATTATGGTGCACTTGATGTAAAAATGATTATAGTTTAAATTATTTGATAAATTGTTTTTTTTTAAATTTCTTATATAATTTTGCAACTGGATTTATATTTTCAAACATCTAGATGTCTGTTTCCATGTTTCTTTATTTGCCAAGGAAATCATTGTTTTTATTTCACAAATTATCTTGATTTTTAAAACAACCCATTTCCTAAATAAATATTTAATTTTGTGAAGTTAAAATGTATTTATCATTATTATGATTATGATTTCATCTATCTATCTATCTATCTATCTATCTATCTATCCGTGTCTGTTCAGTATCTATCTATCTATCTATCTATCTTAGATAATTCTTTCTATTTCTCTAATCAGTTTCTTGATGTTAATTGCTATTTATCAAGGAGTCTGTTATCGTTCTCCCATACAAGATTTGCCAAAATTATTGGCCTGCTCAATGATGTCAAATTTTTTGTGACACCTTAAATTAAAGGCTGAAGTTTTTTGTTATATTTATATTATAATTATATGTATTTAATATCATGGTGGACTTAATGTAAAAATAAATATAGTTTATATTATTTGATACGAATAAAATAATACAATTATTTTTTTTTTATTTCTTATATAATTTTGCAACTGGATTTTTATTTTAAAACATCTCTGCTTCCATGTCTACAATTGCCGAGGAAATAATTCTTTTTATTTAACGAAATTATCTTGATTTTTAAAACAACCCATTTTCTAAATAAATATTTAATTTTGTCAAGTTGAAATTTATTTATCATTATTATGATTATGATTTCATCTATCTATCTATCTATCTATCTATCTATCTATCTATCTTAGATAATTCTTTTTAGTTCTCTAATCAGTTTCTTGACGTTAATTACTATTTATCTAGGCGTCTTTTATCGTCCTCCCATATATATTTTCTAAATAATTGTTTATCTTGCGAACATTTTGTGTCATTTGTGGATTATGTGATATATTTGGCATCTTCAAGTAAAGGTTAAAATTTTTTGTTATATTTATATTAACATTGTATGTATTTGAAATCATCGTGGACTTGATGTAGAAATAATTATTGTTTATATTATTCGATTAGAATAAAGTAATATAGTAATTCTTTTAACTTCTTATATAATTTTGCAACTGGATTTATATTTTAAAACATATCTGTTTCCATGTCTACAAGGAAATTATTCTTTTTATTACACAAATTATCTTGATTTTTAAAACAACCCATTTTCTAAATAAATATTTGATTTTGTCAAGTTAAAAATTCTTTGTTTATCATTATAATGTTCATTATTTCATATAAGAAAGTCGATAATTCTTAACATGTCTACATTTGCCTAGGAATTCTTTTAAATTGATTTTAAAACATACTATTTTGAATTTTTCTTCCCAGTATTATGTGAAATTTTTATTATTAGCTTACGAAGAAAGTTGGAATAATGCAAAGGGTCACTCAACCAGTTTTCCACCAATGCGAGAATGACGACACCTCGTTCATATCGATGTGTACAAGATACTGGGAAAAGGTCCATTGCAAGCTCACAGGGGAAACAATGGTGAAAATCAATACCACACCAAGAAAGAAGAAGCTTTAAAATGTGTCAAAATGCCTCATTATAATAAACTATTCATCAGGAGAAAACCCAATTTCAGTATACACCCGTGTCTTAATAAAATATCTCTATCTATAAAAGGCAGGATGTGTGTGTGTGTGTGTGTGTGTGTGTAACGAATGCGCAGCCGCAATTTTCGACGGATTTGTACCAAAATTTACATGCACATGATCCAAATTAGCGAAAATGCCAAGACCGACTTTGCATTTCCTAACTCCCATGGATAGTCGAAATAATCAATTTTTTCATGCTTCTACGGCAGTTTTCATGTAGTTTGCAGCCATTTTCTACTGGCCAGAGTGAGAGCCTATAGCTGGCTGCCACGAATAGGCAGGAAGATTATATGTGCCAGCTTGAGAGCCAACAGCTGTCTGACACGAATGTTAACTAGCATGCTAGCATGCAAAAAAAATCTTTATCTACATTCGCCACAAGTGGGAAAAATTTAAATCTGCATGACACTTTACTTCAATTAGCTCATTCGCTTGCTTAAACTCAACGTTGATTCTGATTCCGCAGAACTGGGTTGGATGTGAAAAAGTATTTGTTGTTAACATTCTTTTTTCATTCGGTTTTTCCAGTTACGAGTCCTTTTTTAAAGTTGATCGTTTTGTGTTCATTTTGTTTAGTTCTTTTTTCGTAACAGATTTAATGTTTAGTGTAGAGCTTAGAAAAAATTCGCAGTGTGAGATAGGCAAGGAGTAAGGCATGTAGCGATATCAGCACGGCAAAGGGCACTCCTTTAACGGCAAGGAAGGGCAAAAATATTTTAAGTCAAGTGATAGCGATTGCTGTATGAGTCGTACGATTTTTGAATCAAGCACGGGCAACGCCGGGCCATGCTGATAATGAAGTCTCCTGAAATAACTACACTAATCCCTCGATTAGTGCGGCCAATGTGTACAATACGCACTAATCGAATATAATAATTTATTGGAAGTTATGTAATTTGTACCTCAAATTTAAGTCTCATTCACAATTAATTTTAGTTTGTCTTCTTTTTAATTCAAACATAGGTACATATAAGAAGATACAATAAAAATGCTGTGTTAATTTTCATTAGTTAGATTTTTTTAATTTACAATTGTTTGCTGCCTTGTATTCTTCTATTTTTCATATAATTGGCGCTTCAGTTTTACCAAACATATCATGAGTAGTTTAACTTAAAAAAAAAAGTATTTATAATCTTTCCATAGTAAATGCACACATCTTTAATATATTTTCTCCCAACTCGGGTGAGAGTGAACCAGGGAACAAAGTCAGTTAAGAGGCGGATGCACGCTCATAAAAGAACTCCAGTCTTCCGATCTTGCTACCGGATGTAGTTTATCGTCATACCCAGGACCACAGTACATATGACTAGATATTCTATGCAAATTTATAATTTTATTCATAATCTTTCTGTAGTAAATGCTTACATCTTTTATATTTCGAGATTTTTTAATAAATGTACATTTCTGTATCTAAATAAATCGTCCATTTTTTTAACTAAAAAATCAGAAATTTACTTTGAAGATTTTCGATATAAAAATGAAAAAAAAAAATCAAAATCTTTTTAATAGAGGCAAATATTCAAATTAGGTGGATTTGAGATAATTATAATTAAGTAATTCATCGAGTCTAGAAGAAACCTCAACAGAATGCAGCGGACGGCCATTTCGTCCTATATTTGGGACTCATCAGCAGTGTGCATCCACTACCGAGAATTGAAACCCGAAGAGTTATGATAGGAGGCAAAAATCACCATACCAACTGTGAGAAAAGAGGTAACGAAATTATATATATATATATATATATATATATATATATATATATATATATATATAGTCGGCATCCGCCCGTCTCGAGAGACGATGGAGTAGCGTGGTGCGCTACGAGCCTAGGTGGGATATATGGAAAACTAGGGATGCCCGCACGTCTAGTTACCCCTCTTGGCCTTGGCTAGCAGAGTCCAATGGTGAGGATAAACTAATACAGCTTTCTACCAGCGCGGTTGCAGGAGTTGCCGGAAGGTAGCACAAAGTGCCGTCCATCCGCCTTAGGGGATCAATCCGGGTTTGAACTCAGAGTTGTCCTTATCCTAGACCAGTTGCCATCCAAGAACCCAGTCTGTCTTGCTATTTACCCAAGGGAGAAGAAGAGGATTCATACCTTTCCCAAGCGTATTAGTAAGTAAGTGAATGTAATTGATTCGACTGGAATTCGAACTCGGCTCTCCGATTCCTCAATCCAAGCTGCTATCAAATATTTGCCCCGTCAGTCATGTATTGAAAGATACATGATCACCTAAGCGTGTATCACGCATGGCGCTTAACTGACTGACCCTTTGTGAAACGTATGAATCCTCCCCTACCCTAGCTATGTGTAAATAGCACGACAGACAGGGTACTATAGCCTTGGATGGCAACTGGCCTACTGCAGAAAGAAATGACAACCTACTGAAGGAAAAAATACTGCTTCGTCAGTCATGTATCAAAAGTCTACCGCAGAAAGAAATGGCAACCTACTGCGGGGAAAAAATACTGCCTTGTCAGTCATGTATCGAAAGATACATGATCGACTAAGCGTGTATCACGAATGGCACATAAATGAGTGACACTTGGGAAAGATATGAATCCTCTTCTTTTCTTCTCCCCACCTATGGATAAATAGCAGGACTGACTGAGTTCTATAGCCTTGAATGGCAACTGGTCTACCGCAGAAAGAAATAGCAATCTACTGCGGGAAAAAAATACTGCCTCGTCAGTCATGTATCGAAAGATACATGATCGACTAAGCGAGTATCACGCATGGCACATAACTGAATTTAACGTTACATTTCCCTATTCATATCGAGTTCTTCGTTATCAGTCGCATTCTTCGATCTCATTGCAACAAATTTGGCACCCTGTGACATTTGTGCATCTTTGAGATTTGAGCTGGCCAATTTACGACATCGTGCGCAGAAAAAAAACAAAAAAAAAACATCCGATTTGTTTATAGCATGGCTACCATATCATTTGCAGAGGTCAATTACGTCGCTAGATTGCTTGATTGATTTGTTCGTTTAACGGCATATCAACTCCTTATGCATTATTAAATGCCAAAATATTAACTTTCTTGGAAGCTTGGAAGTAATAAAAATATGATACAATAGAACCCTGGACAACAGGATTAAGAAGGCCTTACGGATATGAGGAATTGGTTA